TGAAAATAAATTTTTTTTTATTTTTTTTTTTATTGACTATGATGGCAAAAACTATTTTATATTTTGTACAACTTTTTATTATTTTGTTAAAATATGCATTCATATATTGTGAAGTTTCCAGGCTCCAGGTTAAGATACTTTTTTTTTTTTCAGGAAATCAAGTCCTGTTTGGAAAATGTCATCAATAAGAAAGACACATTTACCTTTGTAACCTCTCTACACTTCCTCTGACAATATTAGGGTTAGAGTAGGGTTAGGGTAAAAAATTGAATGCCGAAATTAACTCCAACAAGATTTATGTTGGGAGATCCTGTTTACATATTTACTTGAGGAAAACGTACATGATATATATATATATATATTTCACCCTTTTTTTAAAATAAATGTGTAAATATTTGGGCTGACATTGCAAAAAATGTTTTAATGTAAGTTGTATGATTTTGACATATGTATGTATTTATTCCAAGGACTATAATGGAAAAGCTATTTTATGTTTTATACACCTTTTATATTTTTCTTAAAATAGCCTGTGCCTTAATATAAGGTGATGTTTCCAGGCTCCAGCTCAAGATACTTTCTTCAGGAAATCAAGTCCTGTTTGAAAAATGTCATCAATAAGAAAGCGAAGAAAACTTATTTGATCAATTGCTGTTGCGTGTATATGTACATTTAGCAAACGTTGTTTTAACATTCACAAAGAAGACCGCAAAAAAGCTACTCTCAGTTTGTCGAGGATCATGTGTGCAATAAAGTTTGTTCAAAACCGGAAATGTGACGTCACACAATGGCGGCCTCCATGTGGCTGTAGAATCAACGTGATTTTGCTCATGTTTTCTAATCTGTAACGTTTAGAAAAATCATCCAAAAAATAGTTTAAAAATCGGTGGAAACCATAATAAGGTAAGCTATACCTTATAATATTTAGATGAAAAGATCTTGCTTATTGAAAACAAACCTACAAGAGTTAAACTCCTGTCATAGATATTGATAGATAGATATATATATATATATAACTTTCCAATGTGACTGTCTTTTTATATTTATTTTTATATATATGAAATATATCGGAAAGACGTTTACAAATGTGTCATTTGTAAATGATATTGTGAGTCACTGAAAATGTAGTAATCAAAAACATTTATGTATGATTTTGAAAACGGCATCAAGATGAAATCCAGACATTTCTGATTTATTCAAAATCTGAAGTCTGTGAACCTGTGCTATGAACTTATTTTGTGTAACGTGCCGATGCCTTATATTCGTTGTGTTGTATGCATAATGTAGAAGTCACCTGAAGTGTTGTTATATTGCAGGTCCTCAGAGGGAACCTGCTTTAGCTGAGAATCAGTGTTTATATCTGAGATGGCTTCATTTAAACCCACCAAAGTTCAGTTCCTTCCTAAACTAGGAGAGACCGTAACAGAGGATACGCTGTACTGGAAGAATTACAAGGTTTGAGATGTGTTGACACATAATGGTTTTTCAACATCAAGAGATTTTGTTTATAATTTATATTGTCCAATGGAAAGTGTATATCTTATGTGTTTTGATTAGTCAACATTTTTACAAGTTTTTTTCAGTATTTATATACACTGACAGTCTGCGTTTTGTCTTTCAGTCTCCCGTGCAAATAAAAGAGTTTGGTGCTGTAACAAAGATCGACTTCTCTCCTCTTCCACCTCACAATTATGCCGTCACAGCCTCCACCAGAGTGAGTCCATTTATCATTCATTTTCTTTCATATCGATATATTCATGTATTAATTTTCACTTTTATTCAAAGTGGCGCATAGAGCTTTTTTTTCTGTATGGTTGTATTAGTTCTCAGTCTCGTGCCTATTATTATATTAATATATACAATTTATATATATATATATATATATATAGAGAGAGAGAGAGAGAGATTTAAATGATAAAGTATTTGTTATACAGCGTTAAATTATGCTGATTTTAATTTCAAATTATGAATCCAATAAATAGAATTACAAAAAAGTTTAAATTATTTTGTTCTCATGTTATTATTATAATGTTAATGTTATGTGTATAACCGTACCCACTGTATATATATATATATATATATATATATAGAGAGAGAGAGAGAGAGAGAGAGATTTAAATGATAAAGTATTTGTTATACAGCGTTAAATTATGCTGATTTTAATTTCAAATTATGAATCCAATAAATAGAATTACAAAAAAGTTTAAATTATTTTGTTCTCATGTTATTATTATAATGTTAATGTTATGTGTATAAATATCCTGTCATGTTTATTGTATGAATATATTAAATAGTATGTATGCAGTGTGTTTATATGTATATTATTATTATTATTATTAATGATAATAATACTATTTAGTTCTGTTACATTTGGAATTATGAGAAAAAGGGGGGGGGAAAACTGTAAATACAGTAATGCAGTAAACATTACTTATATCCAATGAGAACCTTTATTAATAATAAATAATCAGAGGTACAAATAAGTAAAATATTCATATGCATTACAGTGCAGATGATTTGAGGAGAAAATGTGGTTCTTAAAACTACCTTTCAAGCTACATTTGTCTTGTTTTTGTGAGATTCACTTGCATGCAATATTGTTGATATTATAATGTTCTGCATCAGATCCACGTATATGGACTTCACTCTCAAGAGCCCATACGGAGCTTCACACGTTTTCGGGATACAGCGTATGGAGGAAGCTTCAGAGGCGACGGGAAGCTTTTAGTAGCAGGAAGTGAAGAGGGTCTCATCCGTCTGTTTGACATCAGCGGCCGAGTGGCTCTCAGACAATTCACAGGACACTCCAAGTATGACCTGGCATGAAATAATTGCTAATAAATAATGTATTCAATAACTTAAATCCCTCAAATCACATCTTTCCCCCCTGTAAAGCAGCTCTGTCAGCAGTTCTGTTGTCTTAAGTGTGTCTTTTCTGCTATCTCAAATGTGCAGGGCGGTACACATGACCTCGTTCCTGTCTGACGGGTTTCGTGTGGTGTCGGGGTCTGATGACCTGACGTGCCGTGTGTGGGATGTTCCCAGTGCTGTTGAGCTCAGCTCAATAACTGAACACACAGACTATATCAGAGCTCTCGCCCCCAGCAAACTCAACCCAGATCTGTTTGTCACAGGTAACCACCTTTAATTCTCATCTGCACCTCACATATGATCATTACGCCTCTATTCGCTTAGCCAGATCTGTAGGTTAGAAATAAAATTAGGCAGAAATCAAATAAAAATAAAAAATGGTTGTTTCATATTAGTCTGTGAGGTTAAAAGTACATTTGTGGGACTTCGGGACTCAGTGGAATTGCTTGACCAATGGAGTGTTTGAAAATATTATTTTCACCATTCATTATTTTAGCAATACGGAAATCACATTCCTCTCCATTTACTAATTGATTTTGACATTACTAATTCAATTTTGATATTATGTTTTATGTCTTCTCGTGTTTTAATATTATGCTTATAAATATCCTGATACATCTAATGTTTGAATTAGGGCTGCACGATAAATATCGCACAATATTTAATGCGCACCTCGTCAGTAAAGCCGGTTCTGTAATCAGCGGTAAATCTCTACACGTGCGTGCTTTCACGTGGAGCAGCATTAACTACACAGAGCCGTTGTTCACAGACAAGCTGCGCAAAACCACGATCATATTTTGCGCATGTTTTGCGCAGCTTGTCGGTGAACAACGGCTCTGTGTAGTAAATGCTGCTTCATGTGAAAGCACGCACGTGTAGAGATTTACCACTGATTACAGAACCAGCTTTACTGACAAGATGCGCATTAAATATCGCATGCGATTTATCGTGCAGCCCTAGTTTGAATGCATTAATTTCATATACAGTGCTGCTTGAAAGTTTGTGAACCCTTTAGAATTTTCTATATTCCTGCATAAATATAGAACCAAAACATACTCAGATTTTTCGCACTAGTCCTGAAAGTAGACCGAGAACCAAATCAAACAGATGAGACAAAAATATTTTCTTAGTCATTTATTTATTCAGGAAAACGATCGAATATTATGTATCTGTGAGTGGCAAAAGTATGTGAATCTTCAGGATTAGCAGTTAATTTGAAGGTGAAATTAGAGTCCCATCAGGTGGCATTGCCTGCCCTGCTTTATTTAGAGAACAGGGATCTATCAAAGTTTGATCATGTTTGTGGAAGTGCATCATGGCATGAACAAAGGAGATCTCTGAGGACCTCAGAAAAAGAGTTGGTGTTGCTCATCAGGCTAGAAAATGTTACAAAGCTATCTCTAACAAATCCACAGTCAGACAGATTGTGTACAAATGGAGGAAATTCAAGACTACTGTTCCCCTCCCCGACCAACAAAGATCACTCCAAAAGCAAGACGTGTAATAGTCTGTGAGGTTGCAAAGGACACTGAACAACCATGGTGTGGATGGCAGAGTTGCGAGGAGAAAGCCACTGTTCTCCAAAAAGAAAATCACTGCCCATCTGCAGTTTGCTAAAGATCATGTGGACAAGCCAGAGTGCTATTGAAGAAATGTTTTGTGGATGGATGAGGCCAAAATGGAATTGTTTGGTTTAAATGAGCAGCGTTATGTTTGGAGAAAGAAAACACTGCATTCCATATTCCAGCAGATTCTAAAGGAAAATGTCAGGACATCTGTCCAAGAAGAGAAATTGGGTCATGCAGCAAGACAACGACCCCAAGCACACAAGTCATTCTACCAAAGAATGGTTAAAGGACAAAGTTAATGTTTTGGAATGACCGAGTCAAAGTCCAGACCTCAATCCAATGGAAATGTTGTGGAAGGACTTGAAACAAGCAGTTCATAGGAGGAAACCCACCAACATGAAGCGGTTCTGCACTGAGGAATGGGCTAAAGTTCCTACAAGCCGTTGTAGGAATTCTAAAGGGTTCACAAACTTTCAAGCAACATATACATAATAACATCTAAAATAAAATACGTTTTTTAAGCAAGGATGCATTAAATTGACAATGTGTCAGTGAAGACATTTATAATGGATTTCTATAAATGTTATTTTGAACTTCGTAATCATAAAGAATCCTGAAAAAAAAATTTCCACAGAAATATTAAACTGTTTTCAACACAGATAATGAGTTCCTACAAGCCGTTGTAGGAATTCTAAAGGGTTCACAAACTTTCAAGCAACATATACATAATAACATCTAAAATAAAACACGTTTTTTAAGCAAGGATGCATTAAATTGACAATATGTGTCAGTGAAGACATTTATAATGGATTTCTATAAATGTTTTCTGAAGGATCATGTGACACTGAAGACTGGAGTAATGATGCTGAAAATGCAGTTTTGATCACAGGAATAAATAAAAAACATTTTTAAGTTAAGTAGCAAACTGTTATTTTGAATTGTAATAATGGTTCACAATATTGCTGTATCTTTGATCAAATAAATGCAGCCTTGGTGAGCAAAAGAGACTTTCAAAAACATTAAAAAAAATTACCAACTCAAACTTAAAAGATAGTGTACATTTAATATTACATTTACATTTAGTCATTTAGCAGACGCTTTTATCCAAAGCGACTTAAGACTGGTTTTGTGGTCCAGGGTCACATATAATGTTAATAGATATAAATGTATAGGTTATCTTTTGTACAGTAGTTGATGTTTGCCCTGAATGCCGGTCGTCTCTGTTGCAGGTTCGTATGACCACACAGTGAAAGTGTTTGACATGCGGTCAGGGAGCAGTGTGATGACCATGCAACACGGCCATCCTGTGGAGTGTGTGCTGTTGTACCCGTCAGAAGTCCTGCTGGTGTCCACAGGTGAACAACACTTGTAATTTAACCAATCAGGGGTTGGGGGTTGGGGGTTGATTAGTAATGCTTAGAACCCCTTGCAACCATTTTTTCTCATAGCTCATAATGCAGAAATATACTGTAGACTTGGTGCATTAATGTAGTTTTCATCTGATGTGCTATTTTATGGCAGCTTGAATGTGGCTTTTCTAAAAAAAACAGTTGAAATAAGGTGGTGTATGTGTTACAGGAGGGCGCTATGTGAAAATTTGGGACCTGTTGAAAGGCGGACAGGAGCTTGTTTCTCTTAAGAATCATCACAAAACAGTTACGTGTGCATGTCTGAGTTCTGTAGGCAACAAACTGCTCACAGGATCACTGGACAGGT